GCTGGGTCATGAACATTATATATGGTCAAAAGATAAATATAGTACCGCAGATCAATATTTTGAACAATGCTGTCAATGACACTGAACATCTGGACCACCGCTATGTAACAAGTTGTAATATTGCCATATATACGATAATATGTGTTGGAACATTGAACGTGGCCTTTTATATTGCCTCTATGAGAACTATACAGCAAAGTAGATATCCTGGGATTCATGCTGTCATTTGCTTCAGAGAACAGGGGGTCTGTCTCCTCATTGTCACCATCTCTAAATGTGGGCCCCGTTGCGTTGGGCTCGGCCACTATCTGAGAAACAACATGTTCAAACCTGCGGGAATCCTGGAGGGGTTTGATTTCGTAGGCAAGGTCGTCCAGCTTCATGATGCCTCTGAGGCCCCCATAGCAGGTGTCGACGGTGACCATGGACAGAGGCACCTCCTCCAGGTAGCCGAGGTAGTAGCAGTCTGGAGGGATGTAGGGGTCATCCACCTGCAAGGCCCCTTGGTCATCCTGAGTTGTCATCAGCAGATGTCTGGGCCAAAGAAGGTGTTTTCTCCGCATGTGAACGACGTGTCTTTGACCCCCAAAACGCAGGCTGTAGGACAGCCAGCCGGGAAACTGAACGCCTTTGCCATGGTGTGTCTCCTTCCTGGGAATCACCACCTCAGAGGATGCGTAGTGCCACAAGGGACGGCCTTGAGAACACCAGACTGGAGCCAGGAGTGCCCAGAGCCCCAGCAGCAAGACGGGGGCCCTAAGGGTGACTGGCGCCTCTGCTGACCTCATGCCCCAGCCCAGGGATAGTCATCCAAAGAGAATGGGAAAGGAAAGGACTGTCCTTGGGGAAGTCAGGCCCCAACCAGCTGCGGTGACTGCGTCCCTCCCAGGGCGACCCTGACATAGAACAAAGGACCTCCCCAGGCTCCTGCACCACACCCTGGGGGCACCTGGGCTCCGGGAGGGAATGAGGTAACAGTCCCAGGGCGGGGCAGGGGTGGACCCAGAGAGGATGGCAGCTGCTGTGCTCCGGGATAAGGCTGAGGGTCCTGGCTGTGAGGATTCACTGGGAAGGGAAAAGGGAGAGGGAAGCAGGGCTGTGTCTCTTTTACCACCGTCAATCTTTTCTGTTGCTTTCTGAATCTGCAAAATACAATGATGTGTTCAATGCCCTCGCATCAGGCGTGTTATTCTCGGTCGCTCTGTGGGTTAATACTGCTCCTTTCTGTGGGTCACATTGCTTACTCCGTTGCCATGTGGAGGTAGACACTGCCAATACTTTCCTTGTGGATTGAATGTTTTTCTCCTCTTAATAAGTACCCATGTCTTATTCTCTTTGTTGTTGTTTCGTTTTGTTTTGGTTTTGAAGTTTGGTTTGAAGTTACCAGATTGTGAAAGGAAAATATCTTGGGCCCCGCTGAGCTGGGAACCACTCAGGGCAAGTCTGCCTCCCAGTCTATTTAAAGCTATCCCTGCGGTCACAGAGATAGATCAGAAACTCAAAAGAATGCAACCATCTGTCTCTCACCTACCTGTGACCTGGAAGCCCTAAGTGGGGAGGACTTGCTTTGAGTTGTCTCGGCCTTTCTGGGTGGAAATAATGTCCTTCTTACTTATATTCACTGGTGTCTCATGTCTCCCAGAAGTGCGTCAATCAAGCTGTGCCCGACCACCCTGGGCACATGTCATCAGGACTTCCTGAGGCCGTGTCACAGGCGTGTCCTCAACCCTGGCAAAGGAAACTTGCTAAATTAACCGAGATCTGTCTCAGAGTTCCTGGGTTCACAAGATCAACAGTTGAAATAGGGTAACTCTTTCTTCTGTGCTGTGTAAAACCCTTGTGAATTATGGTACTTTTTACTTAGTCCATCTACTGGGGGCAGACGCTATTCCTGACCCCATGAGAGCCCCAGGTGCTGCCCCTCCGATGCTTCTGTGTGGTTCTCTCCTGGTCTTTGGTCATTTCTTCAGATGCACGAGCCAATCAGTTCTCAGGGAAGGACACAGGGGGCCCTCTGTGGGTGTCTCATGTCTGAGAACAAATATTTCGCATATTTCTCCCATACTGAGTCCTCTGTGTTCAGTCCTGATTACCAAATGGAAACCCCTGGGCATCCCAGGGCTGTGGGTCTTCTCTCAGAGCTGCAGGATCAAGTCTAGGCTTGTTTTCACCAGGAGAGAGAGGGCCCTGTTTTCCTGCCTTCTCCTCCATAGCAAGCTGTGATGTGGGAGGCCTGAGGAGAGGGCAGAGCCCAGAGCAGATGTGAGAGTCCTGGAGGAGTTGAGTGGCAATGGCAGCATTTGGGAAAATATGATGACTTATAATATGACTGTGCCATGAAACTCACTTAGCAATTATTATTATTCACACATGTGGACAAATTCTAATACATTGCTTTAAGCAAACTTTAAGAGATATAAACAGAGAAATAGAAAACAATATAAAAATAAGAGAAGACCTTAATACCTCACTTACAACACTGTATAGCAAATCCAGAAAGAAAATTCTGAAGCCTCCGAACTTGAACAACACTATTCAACAAATTCACCTAAAAGACAGTTATGGAACCTTCGAACCAAGAGCCATGTAATACACACTCTTCTCGAGCACACATTGAGCATTGTCCACGGTAGGTTATATGTTACATCATAAGATGAGCATTAACATTTAAAGAAGGAATCCTAACCCTTCTCTAACTCTTTCAAAAATTTGTGAAGGGTCAACCTTCCAAACTATTTCTGAGGCTACCATTACACTATTACCAGTAATATTACCAGTAATAGACAAATGCACCACAATAAAATAAAATTATAGATCAATATCATTGGTAGACACAAATTAACCACTCCAAAAATAGTAAACTAAGTCCTAAAGATTTTACAGAAGGCCACACACCATGACCCACTCAAATTTATTCGGAGTTGCACAGATGATTCAACATCCTCAATCAATCAATTTGGTACACCACATTAAAAAGTAAAGAAAAAGTATTTCAGTAACGTTTCAAGAGACATAGAAAAAACATTTGGAAAAATTCAGGGTTTCATTATAAAACTTCTGAACAAAGTAGGAAGGGAGTAAAACAACTTGTACATAATAAAATCCATTTTAAAAAGTCACAGCTACTCTGAAAGGTTAGACTATTTTGTTCTAATATCTGAAACAAGGCAAGAATACAGCTTGAGGTATTACACTTCCAGGCCTCAAAATTTATTGCACACTTAGAGTAATAAATCAGAATGGTACTGGCATAAATGCATGCAGGGAGCTTAGACATAAACCCACATATTGATGACCAGCTGTTTCTCAGCATGAGAACCAGCGATATACAATGTCTAAATTATAGTGTCTTCCAAAGAGCATGTTATGAAAACTGGATTTTCACATGCAAAGAATTAAGAATTTTAAGTTAGAATAAACACAAAAATTAACTCTAAATGCATTAAATATTTAAATGTAATAAGCATAACTGTAAAACTCCCACTCCTGAAAAAAATAGCAATCTTTTTCTGGATTTTGCATTCAAAACACATATAAAAAAAGCAGAATTGAACAAGTGGGACCAGATTTTACAAAAGATTCTGCAAAGCAACGAAATAATTCCAACTTACAGAATTGGATAGTACACCACGTATCTGAAAAAGTGTTAATATCCAATATATAAATAAAATTTCTATAACTCAATAGCAAAAATAAAAATAGCCTGTTTTTAAAATAATCAGTTTTACACCTTTAAGAGTATAAGAACCTAGAACTCAGGTTAAACGTTTCTCTCCATGGCTAACGGTCCGTCTTACGGTGTACTTGGCTGGACAATGCTTTGTATTGATTTGACAAAACACTGATCCAGGCGGTGTTGTGAATTTTTTAACAGAGGTTATTAAAACCGTAATAGTTGACTCTGTGTTGGGCAGATTATCATTGTTAACCTGCTTGGCCCTGATTCCATCAGAGCAGAGCTGGAGAAGGTCAAACTCCATGGTGATCAAGCAGCTTCAGCTGTTTCTGAGACTTCCAGCCTGCACTTACTGATGGCCGGCCCTGAGGATATTGGATGTTTCCAGCCATCCCCCAAAATCGTCATCCCCTACATCTCACAGGAAAGTGGTGTGTCCCTCTGCAGCTTGTCAAACCTACATTTCAGACAGAGAAAGACTCTCCAAAATCAAATAATATTTATTTGAAAATGGGCATCGCAAGGGGAGTATGCGTGGGCACATTTAAGGAGGTAAATGAAGACACGTGTTTTAAAGGATAACTGAGGAGGCTTACTGAGCTGTTTTCAGACAATTATCCTGGGCTAGAAGAATCAATAACAAGGGTGGAATCAGTTTAAGGTTGGACAGGGAGTGGTAGGGTAGATATCCCCACAATATTAATACTTTTATTGTTGTGGTAGCCTTAGCCTTTGTTCAAGGTTGTAGTTGTGCAGATAATTTGTGTGTGTGTGTGTGTGTGTATGTGTGTGAGATTGAGTCTCACTCTATCACTCAGGCTGGAGCGCAGTGGCACAATCTCAGCTCACTGCAACATCCGCCTCCGGGGTTCAAGCAACTCTCCTGTCTCAGCCTCCCATGTAGCTGGGACTACAGGCATTTGCCACTACTCCAGGCTAATTTTTTTTTTTTTTTGTATTTTTTAGTAGAGATGGGGTTTCACTATCTTGGGCAGACTGGTCTCCAACTCCTGACCTCAGGTGATCTGCCCACCTTGGCCTCCCAAAGTGCTGGGATTACAGGCATGAGCCACTGCACTCAGCTGTGCAGAGTATTTTTATGGTAGTTCTTGTTATCAGGGATATGTTCATAAGAACCCTCCATTCATGACCTTCTCCAGCTTCACCTGTAAAGATTATAACTCAAGTGGCTCCATTTTGATTCTGACAACTTTCACACCCTCTTCCTCACACCACTAGTGAAGAACGTTACTGTGTGAAGATTTTTCAGAACAGGATTAGAAACACACCCGTATCGCACGTTAACCAAACAAGCTTGTCCCCTTCAGTCCCCACTGGCAACTTGCATTTCCAGATGAGTCTCCATGCAACACAGTGGAGGGTCCTGAGTGAGGAGGAGTGAAGAAAGTCCCACCAGCCTCTCCCGCGTGACTGCGGCAGCCACAGCCTGAGACCCACCTGAGCGCCACGAAAGGGCTTGAGGCCTGGAATTTTGACCACAAGGAAAATATCTTCCTTTTCCAGAAAGCAGGAAAAGCAAATGGAAAAATGAGAACAACGACTACAAAAGAAAGTAAATGGATTAGGGACAAAAGAAGCACCAGATCAGTGCTGATGCTGATTTGCATACTTCAGTGTCAGGAGAAGGGCCAGACGTGAAACCTGTGAGGTTCTACATGACACTGGCCCTGGCCCAGCCTCCACCATCTGTGACCAGGATCCGTAAAGACTGTTCTAGTCATGAAGGCTCACTGAGGTCCCTGTCCTGGGTCTGACTGGAGAAGACTCACCAGGAAACCCTGAGCTTACTCAGGATTCTGATCGTGGTGACTATGTTTGAGGACTTTGCATCCCTGTAAGCACCAATCTGCATTTTGTGCCGGTGAGAATAGATCCTCATATTAAAATAATCTCTTTCAAATACTAAGAGAAGACATTGTTAGGCACAGAATCCTAAACTTAGAGAGGTTCCCTGGGGAAACTGTAAGAAGTAGAGGAAGCCCCATATCCTGACAGGAAATCAGCCTCCGTCTGCACCTGCCTCTGGGTTGACTCTGATCAGTGGGTCCTGAGCGCCCCCTGCCACTGATTTCCCCAGCGCTCCTGCAGGGAGGTTTGTGTCTGGGCTCACACTGACTTCCCCTCACTGTGTCTTTCGCACAGTAATACACGGCCGTGTCCTCAGCTCTCAGGCTGTTCATTTGCAGGGAGAGCGTGTTCTTTGAGTTGTCTCTGGAGATGGTGAATCGGCCCTTCACGGAGTCTGCGTAGTATGTGCTACCACCACCACTATTAATAGTATGAGACCCACTCCAGCCCCTTCCCTGGAGCCTGGCGGACCCAGCTCATGCCATAGCTACTGAAGGTGAATCCAGAGGCTGCACAGGAGAGTCTCAGGGACCCCCCAGGCTGGACCAAGCCTCCTCCAGACTCCACCAGCTGCACCTCACACTGGACACCTGCAAACAGAGAGACACCAAGGTCAGAAACTGCCACACATATCCACTGTTTCTCTCACTCATGTCCACTCCCACTCAATCTCTCTATTTCTCCATGAATCACCTCTTAAAATAGCAACAAGGAAAACCCAGCTCAGCCCAGACTCCATGGTGAGTCCTCTGTGTTCTGTGCTGATCACCGAATGGAACACTGTGGACTTCCAGGGCTGGGCTCCTCTCCCAGAGCTGCAGGGTCAGGGCTGGGCTGGTTTTCATCAGCAGAGGGAGGGCCCTATTTGCATGTCCCCCACTATATAGCTCTGGGGTGGGACATCTGAGGAGAGGCCGGGCTCACTGCAGATAAAGTGACCTGGGGGAGATTGGTAGTAATTCCATCATTCAGGAAAATATAATTTTACATTATGTGATTGTACCTTAGCATTTAGCTCTCATAATCCGACTTTATGTTTACATATTTACACAATATATATAATGCAGCTTTCAATGTTATATTTTACAGAAGATAATTTACATAGAGAACACAGCAGTTGTGCAGTGTGTCTAAGATTACACATCTAAAAAAAATTAATCCTATTATCTGGGCCTGTGCTCTAACTACCAGAGGAGGCGGCTCCCCTGAGACAACTCCAGGGCAGCGTGGACCAGGCCTAGTGAAGACTGCAGGATTCCCCATCTGCTATGACAGCTTTCTGTAATTTACCTAAACATGCAGAGAGAACCACGGTTCATGTGTGTGTATTTTCAGAAGTTAGTCATGTTGCTTCTGTCAGTATCAGTTTTTTCATTGCTCCATTTTAGCAAAACTATTCATTTCTTTTTTTGTTATGGCTTTATTCAAGTATAATAAATAAATAATTAATTCAAATTTATAGTGAATGATTTGAAAAATGTAGACCTATGTTTGCAACAATTCACTCAGCAATTCAATCAAGTCTTGAATAATTAAATTAATCCCTAAATCTTTTCTTATTCCTCTCAAATTTAACTCACATCCCCATTATTCCCAACATCATATTCTCAGAAAAATTTAAATCTTCTTCATGTTAATTTTTAATAGTGTCATCTTCTAAAATTTCTACAAGTGAATCATATAAAATTTACTCTTAATTTCTTAGTTTCTTTCACTCAGCACAATTCCTTGAGAATTTAGCCACGTTTTTTATGATTGAGGCATGCCTTGATTTCAAGCTGCATTAGATTCCAGTACCTAAATATGTGCCAAACTATTTAATTGTTCACCAGTAACAAAAGGTGATTTGTTTTCTCAGTTAATGGATTTTATAGAGAAAAGCAGCTCCTCAGCAAGGGAATGTAAAAAATGAGTAAACTATGATATTATTCTGATCTCATTAACAACAAACATGAAAAACTACAAATAAAGAAAAAACGTTCAACATATCTGAGTTGATACCATAGAGGAAAAAAAATCTCTGAAATCTGAGGAGAGGAGCCTGCAGAGAGAACCACATATTAGTGTACCTGAGGCGGATACCACGGGATGGTATTTAAGATAGGAGCAGGCCGACATGGAAATATTCAGAGAGTTGCTCGAGGATGCATGTGCTCATGCTGTTAGACTGTGAAGTTCCTAGTGCTTGTGGGCTTTTCCTACAGAATTGTTATTAATTATTCTTTCTGCACTTTATGCAAATGATCAGGCCAACCATAAGACTAAAGTTTATTTTGAAAACAACTCAGACCTATAATGATTACATTCTGACAAAAATCAGAACTGGAGAGAGAAAAGTTATGTTTCAAAACATCATACACTTGCCTTTAAATTCTAATCTCTTCAATTGCTTTAAGTATGTGCCTCCATTTTAGACTAACTCTGCCTATTCCTGTGAACCAACCAATGATCTCCAGCTGCAGCTCAGAAGAAACAAAGGGATGGGGAATATAAACATCTGCATCAACATTTTAGTTCTGAGCAATTAGCCTGCAAATCATGCCAGGTGACGGGAATAAACAGGGTGCCCCTAATCCAGAGGTATCTTTGAGAAAATAAGTGCAAGGGAGCTAACAAAAGCCCAGCCCCATGCCCAAATCTCAGCAGGCGTTAACTACAGCCCAGTTATCTGGGCATGTCAGCAGCCTTGGAATTTTTTTTCAAGCTGTCCCTACCACCTTGTTGGGTTTTGATACATGTGTTCTGATAACCCAGTTTGTCTCTTCTCAGCTTCAGGTCATCCAACTCCAAATGGTCATGCTGTGCAGGAAGCATGGTGCCAGCATCTTGGTGAGGACCTCAGAAAGCTTACAATCATGGAGGAAGGCAAAGGGGCAGCAAACAAATTACATAATTAGAGCAGGTACAAGAGAAGAGATGGGGAAAGTCCTAGAGTATTTTAAAGAACTAGATTTCACTTGAACTCAGCACAAACTCAATTGTCACCAAGTGTGCCACATAAAGTCATTTACGAGGGATCTGCCTTCATGACCCAATACCTCTCACCAGACCCCACCTTCAGCATTGGCAATTACATTCATAATGATTCGTAAGCAGAGCCATTTCTGGGAGTCATGGGTTTCCCCGAGAGGTAGCACTCACTTGCACAAGACTCAATTATACTTTGCAGCTTCCTTGCACAGCACACACAGCACAGAAATATAGGAACCTTCCACTCAATCCACCCTTCCTCTCTCCTTCACTCAGAGACAGGCTTCCCTCATATACGATCAACTTCCCAGCTTCATTCCACTCCCCCTGCATTTTCTCTCAAAGGGGTGGATGTTCTTCTTCTAAAAATTCAGGGAAACTTCATTCCGTCTTGGAGGTTTCTGCTTAGAAAACCAATAATAACACAAATGTTACTTGAAAGGGGTCCCAATTCAGGGTGAATCCACAGAGTAAAATGAAAGCGAGTTTATTAGGAAAGTAAAAGAATAAAGATGGCTACTCCACAGGCAGAGCAGTGGTATGGGCTGCTGGTTGTCCATTTTCATGGTTATTTCTTGATTATATGTTAAACAAAGGACGGATTATTCATGAATCCCCCAGAAGTTTCCAAAGCTGAGTATTTCTCCCCTTTTTTAGACCATCTAGGGAAACTTCCTGATGTTGCCATGGCATTTGTAAACTGTCATGGTGCTGGGGGGAGTGTCTTTTAGCTTGTTATTATAATTAGTGTAAAATGAGCAGTGAGGACAAACAGAGGTTACTTTTGTCACTGTCTTGGTTTTGGTGGGCTTTGGCTAGCTTCTTTACTGTAATCTTCATCAGTAAGGTCTTTATGACCTGGATCTTGTGCAGACCTCTTATCTCATCCTGTGATTAAGAACTCCTTAGCTTACAGGGAATGTAGCCCAGCAGGTCTCATTCTTATTTTTCCTAGCCCCTATTCAAGATGAAGTTGTTTTATTTCCAAAGCCTCTGACAAAAACAATGTAGTGAAATATTTATAATATGAGCATCATTATATTGCCAAATATAAAATAAAATATCATAATGGCAACAAACAATTTTATGTGTCACCTTGACTAGACCACTGTCTCATCTACTAAATCACACACTAACCAAGGTGCTGCTCCCATGGCAAAATACAGGGGTTAGTAGAGCCTGCCATTATTCTTTCCTAAGTCACGAAGAGTGTTCTAAATAATCGAGGTGGGGCTGATTCAGTCAGAGCATAACAGAAGATGACGGGACTCCGTGGTGGATGGCAGACGCAGGTCTTCCCAGGAATTCCAGCCTGTCTTTCCCGATGGGCAGCAGTATTGATCTTAGGCTGCCTAGCCAGACCCTACAATTACTATTATCCAGAGCTCACAGCACCATGGAGTGTCCATCTTCAGCTCTCCTCAAAGTCACAGGTGAGAGTCCAAACTCTGTGACAGCGTGAAAAGCTCTACGTCAGTATCCCATTGGAGAAAACTAGTATTATTCCCTTCATGACTAATGTCCGCTTCATTTTCCAAACCTCTCCATTCACAGAAGACAGCAGGAGAGTGCAGGCAAGGGTGAGTGAGAAAGTCCCCTCAGATTACCCAGGTCCTGCAGACCTGAGCCCTGGGATTTTGAATACAGATAACACATACTCAGTTTTCAGGGAAGAGAAGAAGAAAGGGAGCTGTGAGAATCAAGTCTACAGGGAAGGAAGATGAATTAGCAGAAAGAGAGTTCACTGAATCAGTCTGAGTCACATGTGCACAGTTTTACAAGATGAGGGGGAATAGCTGTGAAAACCATGCGGTTTTAAGGACCCTGATCCTGGGTGAGCCTCTCTCTTGGCTCCTATCAGAACTCAAAGCCTGTTCTAATCAGAGATTCCCATGGAGGTCTCTGCCCTGGGTCTAACTGGAAAACACTCTCCAGGTTCCCCTGAGCATCCTCAGGACTTTTATCCTGTTGACCACGAAATAATTATTTCTGCCCCCAAAATGACACTGTGGGTTCTGTGGAGGTGAGGATGTGTCCTACTGTAAAAAACAAAACAAACAAAACAAAAAAACAGAAACAAAAAGGAAGAAGAGAAGTTTTGCATTCAGAGACATGAAATGTTAGTACAGATCTGGAGACGTTCCCTGGGGAAATTTGACAATGAGGCAGCCGCAGACCATGACAGGAAGCCAGGCCTTAGCAGCACCGGCTCCGGCCCGGAGACAGCCCCGAGCTCAGTGTCCGGGCGCCCCCTGGTGGTCACGGGGACCCCTGCGGGGGGGGTTTGTGTCCCGGGCGCCCCCTGGTGGTCACGGGGACCCCTGCAGGGGGGTTTGTGTCTGGGCTCACACTGACCTCGCCTCACTGTGTCTCTAGTACAGTAATACACGGCCGTGTCCTCGGCTCTCAGGCTGCTCATTTGCAGAGACAGCGAGTTCTTGGCGTTGTCTCTGGAGATGGTGAATCGGCCCTTCACGGAGTCAGCGTAGTATACGGTTTTACCAGTGTTACTAATGGATGAGACCCACTCCAGTCCCTTTCCCGGAGCCTGGCGGACCCAGTGCATGCCATAATCACCAAAGGTGAATCCAGAGGCTGCACAGGAGAGTCTCAGGGACCCCCCAGGCTGGACCAAGCCTCCCCCAGACTCCACCAGCTGCACCTCACACTGGACACCTGCAAACAAAGAGACACCCTGGTCAAAAACTGCCACACAAATCCACTGTTTCTCTCACTCATATCCTCAACCTCTCTAGTTTTCCCTGAATCACCTTTTAAAATAGCAACAAGGAAAACCCAGCTCAGCCCCAACTCCATGGTCCTCTGTGTTCAGAGCTGATCCCAAAGTGGAAGTTCTTGGAATCCAGGGCTAAGGCTCCTGTCTCAGAGCTGCAGGGTCAGGGTTCAGTTGGTTTTCATTAGTAGAGGGAGGACCCTATTTGCATGTCTCCTAATACATAACAAGCTCTAGGTGGGACGCTTGAGGAGTAGGCTGTACCCACATAAGGCGACAGTGCCCTGCAGAAGTTTTATGACAATGATGGTATTTGGAAAATATGCTGTCTTATGAAATTGTGCTGTGATAAACACTTTGCCATGATCACCCTATTTCATTTTTAAATATTTGTGTAAGCTATGTTATGTAGGAGTCAGTATTTTCTCCATTTACGGATGTAGAAGTGAACCCACACATGGAGGGGACTCTGTGTACATCTAGGAGCTCACGTCTGGAATGAGTGAACCCCAGTAACTCGCCCCGTGCTCCTCATCACTGGCTGTGACTGCTCCTTAACCAACTCCAGGACAAAGCTGGATGTGTTAGTGTTTTTATCAGAACCCACTTTCCATAATAAGAGCGCATGTGGTTTTGCTGCACTCCAGCACTTCCCTGAAAATATGGAGAGAACTAGGGTCCAGGCACATTAATTTAATTTTAATCAGGTACTTCTGACAGTTAACTTATTTTTTCTGTCTTTCTAAGTTTCCATTTGTTTGCTTGTAATACATTTTATGATGCTTAATTGAAAGGTAATATACTTCACACATTTAAAATGTACAATTAATAAACACGATGTGACTGTCATCATCATCAAGAGAGTGGACAAGTGAATTCTTCTCAATGTTTCCTCTTGTTCTACTGTATTCCTCCTCCTCTCCCCTTCCCTTCTACCATTTCCCCAGGCAACTACTGATCTTCATTATGTTACTTTAGATTCATTTTTATTTATCAGAATTTATAAAAATGAAATAACATAGTATATATTCTTATTTGTTTGGCTTATTTTACTCAACATAAATACTTAGATATTTTACCTTGTTGTTCTGTGTCTCAGGCATTAATTTATTATAAGTGATGGGTAGTATTCCAGTGAACACATTTACCATAATTTGTTTTTCTATTAAGCAGCTTAACAACATTTACATTCTTTTATTACTCTGGGTCTTACTAAAAAATCTTCTACACAGCTTGGAAATGGACATAGATGAATAATATATTTTACTTATTTTTTCAACAACAATATCAACAATAACACATAGACAGAGAAGCTGGAATTTTTCAATTTTTTGGGGGGGACTGAGTCTCACTCTGTTGCCCATGCTGGAGTGAAATGGTACGACTTGCAAACTCTGCCTCCTGGGTTCAAGCGATTCTCCCTTCTCAGCCTCCTGAGTAGCTGGGATTACAGGTGCGCGCCACCATGCTAGGCTAACATTTTTGTATTTTTAGTAGAGACAGGTTTTACCATGTTGGCCAGGCTGGTCTCAAACTCCTGACCTCAGGTGATCCATTCACCTCGGCCTCCCAAAGCATTAGGATTCCAGGTGTGAGCCACTGCAACCAGCCAAATTTTTTTTCATAATACTTTAGATACTTGAAGTTTTAACATAAACATCAAATGTGAAATCTAGGGAGAGACAAGTTGAGACTTGTTGAGAGTAACAAAACTGGGGTATGAGTTGAATTGAGGCAGCATATGTCATAAAATGTAGGCTGCTACAAGATAAAAACACACTTATGCATTGGATTGCTTGAAGTCAAGTGTGGTAAATGTGCTATAGTGTGAATTTCTAAGAGACCACATCCTGAAGAGCTTTCCTATTCTATTGACTCCCTTTCCCCCAGAATGGGGACAGTCAAAGAAATCTTTCAGTCCCAATGTGTCTGTCTAGGAGGGAAAAAGTGCCCACACTTCTGAAAAGCATTCAGACCCACCCCATTGGAGAACTAAGAAATTACTCTGCAGGGGCAAGCCACCAAAACCAGTATCTTGGGGGCACCGCTTAGGAACTGAGATGGGAAAAGGGGTCTTCACCTGAGTTCCATTGAGAACTACCTCCCCTCTCTTTCTTATTTAATCAGAGCCCTAATCTGCAGTTCAAGTCAGCAAATCTGGAAGGTGATAACACCAAAAGAGAACATTGGAGCTGTGGGAGGGAACAACTGGGGAAAACAAGAGGACTCCACCCCTGGGGAAAGAGCGAGAACACACAGACGGACATCTCATCTGGAGGAAGTTCAGAAACCCTGGAAAGCTGACACCCAGACTCAGGATCACAATATGAACCCAGGAAAGGTCAGAAAATCTCCCTTTATTCTATAGCTTTCCACTAGTTTCACAATTGTCACTTAAATAACATTTTAATCCACCTAAGGGAGCTGAACATGATTCTCTGGAAGAGGGAACAAGGTGAAGCGGCAAAGCCAAGCAGGAAAGAAAAATAAGCTATCACTGGAGGATCTGAAGTCTCTGGTGGACACAGAAGAACAGACTTCAACTCTGACGTCCACTGCAAAAGAAAATGTCAAATGTAGCTCTGAGAAGATTCACAGACACTTCCACAATAAAGTCCTGGCAAAGATAAAGTGTGATCCAATACAGGCAGAAAATGCATAAAATGAAATAATAGACCAATAACAACTGTCCATCCCAACATGTGTGGCTATCAACAATTATTACGTACATTAATGAGAAATACCAAAGTTGTAATAAATGAATGATCAACATGAGATTTGTAAATGATACAGATATTATAATGATCTAGTTAAACCATATATGTAAAGTAGCTCTAATTCATATGCAAGAATCTCTTAAAGCAACTGTGAACATAATGCAGGACTAAATAGGCAACTGAAATATCAAAATACTAAGAAGAAATCACATGGAAATGCATAAGAAATCAAAAGGAATGCCGTATAAACATCGAGCCAGCTTTGGGCACAGTCCTCAGTAGAGCTGGCTCAGTTTTTAAATGAAACCATGTGCTTAAAATGTCACTAGAAATTTCACGAAGTAAATTGCAAAGAAAAGAAAGTGAAGAAAGAAACCAAACATTAATATCAAAATTATAGTATATGTATATTTTAAATCTGAGAAGGAGAAATTATAAATACAGAGAAAGTATTTGAAAAAATAATGGCTAAGAATTTTCCGCATTTTGTGAAAGACACTGAACTACAGATCCTAGAATCACAGAGAACCCCAAGCAGAGTAAACACAAACCGACACAGACACACACACCACACATACACCACGGACAGAGTGGTACACAAGAAAAAGCTTACACATCACAGACAACACACACCTTTCCTGAACTTTATTCATCCTACTTAGTTGTTTTAAAACTATTTACATTTTTAGTAATAAGTAGTAGTCTAAAATTAAAATATATTATTTTATGCCTAAGTCTGTCTATACTTAGCATGATCAAATACACAGTTTGGTGCAAATGAATGTAACTACGTTGTTAGTTAATTCGCTATTTCAAAGAAAAATGGTATTTATTCCTGTCTCTGTGTTGAATCATCTGTAATGTATGCCAATGAAATTATTTTTAATTAAAGAGTGTTTTAAGTGGGCATATAATAACTGTTTATACTTACGGGTACATTGTGACATTTCAATACATGTGTGCCTTGAGGTATGACCAAAATCAGAACAATGAGCCAATTAATCAGCTCAGACACTAACATTAATTTGTATTGGTAGCATACAAAGTTCTCTCTTCTGATTACGTGTAAACAGAAAACGTACAATATGTTGTTAGCTGTAATCACCATACTGTGCTGTGGGACACTACAGCACATCCCTCCTGTCTACCTGTGATTGTGCGTTTGTTAACAAAACTCTTCTTATCTCTCAGTTTCCCCCCATTCCCAGCTTCTCATAACCACTACTCTACTATTTACTTCTGGAACATCAACTTCTTAAAAAATTCCATATAACACAGAAACGCTGTGTTTATTTGTCTGTGTTTGGCTTGTTTCACTCAAGATAACGGTGTCCACTTCCATCAATGTTGCTTCAAACGGCAGAATTTCATTGTTAAGGCTGAATAATATTCCATTGTGTAAATATATCACGTTTTATTTATCCGTTCAACTGTTGATGGACACATACGTTGACTTCATATCTTAGCTATTGTGATTAGGGCTGCAGTAAACATAGGTGTACAGGTATCTCTCCAATATTAGTTTTTTCTTTTAATTATTTAAATAGGTATATGCTCAGCAGTTGGATTGCTGGATTATATGGTAGTTCCATTTTTTTTTCCCTTGATGGCTGTACTAATTCACATTTCCACCAGTGGTCTATAAGAGTTTTCCTTTATAGGCATCCTGGCCAGATTTTGATATTTATTTATTTATTTATTTATTTATTTATTTATTGTCCTTCAGACAACAGACTTTCTAGCCGAGATGAAGGGTGAAAAGACATCTTATTGTGAATTTGCATTTTCCTAAATATTATCTACATATGATCTGTTTGCCCTTTGCATGTCTCTCTCTCTTTTTTGTTTGACGCGAGTTTCACTCTTGATGCCCACGCTGGAGTGCAATGGTGCGATCTTGGCTCACTGCAACCTCCGCCTCCCGGGTTCAAGCGATTCTCCTGCCTCAGCCTCCTGAGTAACTGGGATTACAGATGTGCACCACAACGCCCAGGTAATTTTGTATTTTTAGTAGAGACAGGGTTTCTCTATGTTGGTGAGGCTGGTGTCAAACTCCTGACTTCAGATGATCCGCCCACCTCGGCCTCCCAAAGTGCTGGGACTACAGGCGTGAGCCACAGCACCTGGGTTTGTCCAGGCTTTTTCGGTCCTTCAGAGAATTGAACAGTCATCTCCTCCCCTGTTCTCACCAATTTTCATATTTGTGTGTGACCCTTGAGAATGTCATTGCCATGTCTTACTACATAATAGAAGTCCAATCTGGCATGAAGCTGACGTGCTGGGTGTGTCAGTGTAGAACTGGGCAAAGAAACTGCCTGCATACATGAACTGTTGCATTATCCAGGCCTGGAGCTTCTCACGTCTAGGCTTTGCATTTTATCCGTGATTTTCTCTGTTGTTAGTCAGTACAAATGTTATTTTTAACTTTCTACTGAAATAGCCTCACATAACAATCTAGAGGCATAAAGATTAAAAAATAACTTATTTGGAAATTAACCCAGGTTCCAGGTGAGGCCATAGTTAGTTTGTGGTGATAGTGAGACAGGGAGAAGCATGGCTGGAAGCTAT